GGGGGGGGGGGGGGGGGGGGGGGGGGGGGGGGGGGGGGGGGGGGAGCTTCCCCGTATGGGCCTTTATAAGACGTACCTATCCGCCCCTCCCCCCCCCCCGCTCCAATTCCAGGAGCCCTACAGGCTTCCGTTGTTGTTTGTTTGTTGTTCCTTTGTGGAACTTTAAACTTAGTCCCATATCGCTCAGAGTCAAAGTACAATAAGGGACAACTACCATTTACTAGAATGTATCTGCATCTCCTTTTGATCTTGGTAACCAAAATATCGCCATATCTGGTTCCCTTCGCTTTGGAAAAGTTTTCGAAAGCGAAGGAAAAATGTCTGGGTAGGACGCTGAGCAACAATCTCAACCCAGATGTGGCGTTATTTTAGTTACCAAGCAAAAAGTCCTGTCCAGAGGCTTCCGCAAAATAATAGCTAGGGCGTAGAGGATCATGGGATTACGTTTAGCAGAGCTAGCTCCCAGTTGTTCGAGTCACACAAAAGAATGTGAGACAAAATACTACTACAGTATACAGTGTAACCTCTCCTTTGGGACACCTCTTTTCAAGAAACTCCTCCATTCAGAGGAAACAAAATTTGGTCCCGGAAAAAAGTTCACACAGTTCCTCTATTGAAGGGACCCGAAAGGGACACTTTTTCTAGATCCCGAAAAAAGGTGGTTTTTAACTTCAATCGAGGGGACACCTTAGCACCAGGAGCTCTGCTTAGCACTCGAAAAGTGACACGAAATAAAAGTAAATCATGATTTATTTATACATAACATCTAGCTGATTGTAATAGTGAATGCAGCAGATTATAAGGCAGAATAAATTAAAAATATTTTATTTGTTGGTAAATTATTAGCATTTCCCAGCCCAACCTCCATTCATGGGACACTTACCCTGGTCCCGCGGGTGGTCCCGAGGGTGTCCCATGAACAGGTTTCACTGTGGTGTGAGATTGCGTTCATTCTCTTTTTTCGCATACAGATTTTTTTAGAATCATATTGTTAAGGAAAGAACTGTAACTTTATTATTTCGTATGAAAACAAAACCGTTGTCCTACTTGTACCAGTCTAGTTAAACAGAAACTGGTTTTCCTTGTACTTGTATCATACAAGACCCATTTTGCAGTGCCAAAGATGATACTAATGTTCTCTTGCACGTTGCAATTGCTTTTAAGAATGCGCAACCTCGTCGCAAAGGCCTTTTAAGGGAAAAGCCCTGAGGACGTGGTTGAATAGTGCGGCCGCGATCAAATTACCTCTGAGCTTTCGTTAAATAAAAAACGACTGGTCTGCAGGCTACTTGTATCATTGCTATTAAGAAAGTGGTGGAGGGACAGGGGACCATTGGGATAAATCCCGAAAACTAAGACCCATTCACGTCTTGCTTAGTTGCGGACACTCGTCAAGCTTAGACTTTGATAGATTGTGCTAACATAATTTTAGGCATAATTCATCATAATGAGCACAACTTTCATCTGTTTATTGGAAAAAAGCACTGCTAGCATAGTTTGTACTTTAAGCTAGTTTTGCTGCAAAAATGGCCATTTGTTGATCATGCAACCAATTTTTTTTGCCGAGATTAGTGTTACAGGCAAATTTAAGTAACAAAACCACTTTTTTGAGAGCTTATTGTACTGTCACATTCATGAGACCTGGATCTCACAGAAAGTGACACAGTATTTCTTTCTACAGGACTCCTCAACGCATGTGTTACGTTATACCCAAGATGGTTTCCGCGTGCTGTTGTTAATTGTTTGAGTTTTATAGTAACTGTTGCCATACAGTGATTTTTGCACTCTTAAAGTTTCTAGATGTAAATAGGGTGAATGTGTATTCCATTTACTTGCCCTTTGCATAGTTTTTGAGCATAATTAATCCTGCAGTTTTTTTGCTAAAATGAGCATAAATCTACAAAAACTAGCCTAATTATTGGCAAAATTTTAGAAATACATGAGCACTGCTAGTAGCATATTATGCTACTTTTGCGAGCACAATCTATCAAAGCCTAGTCAAGCTAAGTGTGGTCTAATTAGTTCCAGTGGTAACAGTGGAGGGGGGGAAGAGGAGAATAGACTTAGTTTTCAGGTTCCTATTATCAGAAACAACCTATTATAACCCAGGTCCCCAGTTACACGATTAAATTTTCGATTATCGTTTTTCAGCTGTACACATTTCACAGTTGAAGCCAAGTTAGACATTCAAGATGAATTGACTTGACATCGGCCAAGCAGAGCTTAGTCAAAGTTAGTTTCCGACTTTCCTTGTTAAAATCCTCTCTGCACATCTTCTATTGACTTACTCCCCTACGGAATTGCTTGGCTCTATGCTCCTCCGCTTTTTGCCCATTTCTGAACTTGACCCTCCTGTTTTGAAACCACACTTTTATTTGATGTTCCGTGAGTCCTAAAGAGAGTGACAAGTGGTATCTTTCTCGTCTACTTAGGTAGTGTCGAGCCTGGAAGTGGTTTTCCAAGGTCATTCGCTGATGATCTGTAAACACTGAACGAGACAAGGCTGCAGATTTTGGCCTCCTGTTTGTACTCTGAGGAGTAAATTTTGGACCACATTCTTCTGAAACAAAAATCAGTTACAAACCGTTAAGTTAATCAATGAGGGTCATCTTTGGGGAACTGAACACCTCAACACCAAGCAACCGCTCCCATTTAATACGTCAAATACGCCAGCGAGTTTAGCGAACGTACTCTGGTTACCGTATTTATCTGATTAAGCGCCCAACCTCGAAAAAGTGCCCACCTCGAAAAACCGCCCACCCTACTGGCAGGAAAAGTTAAAAAGCGCCCATCCCTGAATAAGCGCCCACCCCATCCCACCCTCCATCAAAAAAAGTAGTACCCTAAACATCGAGTTTTCTTAGTATTTTATAGAGGCTTTCAATAAATAGTTGAAATTCTCCTTATGAACATCTCCATGTTTTGTTGCAAAATAAAATCACTATTCCTGGAAATTGCTTGAATAAGCGCCCGCTCTCAAAGACCAAACATTTATTAAGAGCACCCAGGGCGCTTAATCGAATAAATATGATACTCTTCAACACAGATAGTCTCCCACGCAGCCGTTTTTGTCTCGTCAAGCAACGCTCCTCCTCCTCCTCCTCCTCTTCCTTTTGAGGAAGAGCGTTGCTTCAAGAGACAAAAACGGCTCTTGCTAGGACACAAAGCTTGAGCGAGTTTACACTCAATTGTGAAACGAGTCCTAAAACCTATGTTTTCAGGAGAGAAAATAAAAATGTTGCAATTTTAGGTTAAAACTAAGAGTAGCGTACTAAGTTTTAACAGTTGTTGAGAAAGATTCCCAGGACTATTCTCTGCTACTTATCAGATTACGACC